GGCCTAGTTGGGGATTTATAGAGGCTCAAAGATTGGCCCGTCTGTATCCTCGGACGAGTTTCACCTGCAGTGCAAAACCTTCGCCGATCACAAGGGAACCCATGTAGAAAGTTCAAACATCTTTTCATATCATATAGCGGCAGTGAAAGACAGTTCTGTACAGTTCTGGCTTGATGTAGTCAGCTCTTTGTGCAATTGCAACAACTGAAATCTCGTCCGAATATCCATTCCATGTTATTTCCGTCATGGCAATCTCGTCCAACCTCTTTTTTCTACACTTTTGATGGGCCATATTTTTCTCAAAATCGGCGTACTCTCTCGCTTTCTTCACTACAGATGAACTATACCCAATCTACACTTCCGCTTTTCGAATAAAAACGGGTACCTCAAAATTATCGTGAATTGTGCTTTTAAAGTCACAGTGATCTTGAGACCCCTAGTCTAGGTAAAATGACGGAAGTTAGGATGCGGAATGGTGCGAGGGTAGCTAGGAAAGCGGGTTCCCAAAAAAGCCTTTCTGAAATAGTAGAGAAGCAGGTTTTGCGAGTTTTTTGAAGTTCTGACATCAGAGGTTGTATGAAGGAAGTAAGCGCCCGTTTTGTGCTTTTGCGTAGAGCTAGCTACAGTACGGCCAGAATGCCAAAAATTGCTTACCATTGGGCGCCTTCATAGTACCGACGTCATGGCACCGGCGTTAGCGTTATGACGCTGACGTTGTGTCACCGACATCTTCTAATGCAGCGAACATCAACATTCCCTCAATCCACCTGCTTCTCTGGACAATTAATCGTGACTTTTGATCAGCTAGCTGGACATCCTCACCAGCGGTCTAAGGGTCCTCTAATGAGAGTGAACCACCCTCAATGAAGGAAGCCCGCTGGATCCATACTGATGGGAAACAAGTACATCTTCGAGGCAAGGCAGGAAACCATATACAACCAACTAGGAACGCAGAACCAGCACCAGTTACAATTTTTTCATCCAGATAAAGGAGCTTAAGCATTCAGCATTAATTCTGTGACTCTCATGGAGTTACATAGAGCATTACCTGAACTGATGTTTGCAGGGTAACAGACCCATTGACTGGTATCAGCCTAACTCAAGAATTCTTGGACAGGAAGTCCGTCTTAAATATCGTGTAAGTTTGGAAACTGGGCAAAGCATAAAGCGCCGTCCTTATACTCTCTTTACATTGAAAGATCCCCGAGACTCTCTCCGTGTACAGAAGGTAGAAATACTTTAAAGAGGTGTTCTTTGGGAGATGACTGCCAGGATCATACACACATGACGTTCAGAAATTCGGAAATCATTGGGCCATATCTTTATGGAGGCTCTGACAAGGGTTGGTTACACTTTTCGCCAACCCTTTCGCCGAATTTCCTCGGAAAGCGGCAGTGGTTTCGTGTCCTATCAGATGCGCCGAGCGCGGCATGCCGCTCGGTTAGAAATTACCACACCCCTCTGAACGAAAGACCCGGCTACAGTCACAGTTTTTTTTTCAGGCCTATCACCATCAGAACAGTGAGTATAAGCTGCATATTATCAGATTTGGATACTATATAGTAGCTGTTATGTCACGAATTTCTCAGCTCAACGCAAAATGAATTACAGAACCAACTAGAGATTGCACTAGTTGCCCTTTCATAGAAGATGCTTGCTCAAGAGGTTCCAGTATGAGGAGACCGGGATACACGTGTGGGAAGCCAAATGTTATGTGAGTTCGGGAATTCGCAGAGGTGTTTTAGAGCAAAAGCCGTCCATTTCTTCCTCTTTACTGTACTAGGCAAAACACAGCTTTTCCGGATAATCAGTTGGTAGTGGGAGTCTTGATAACCCTTCGTTGCTCGAAGGCACATTAACGAGTTTACGAGATTACCTTGACGTAAACTTCATGGAAGGGGCATTCGGACGAGATTTCTGTTGCTGCAATTGCGCCAAGTGCTGACTACACCAAGCCAAACCTGTCCAGAATTACCTTTCACTGTCTCCATAGGTCATGACAAGTGGTTTAAACTCCCTACATGAGTTCCCAAGCGAGTGGTGCGGCCTTTACAATGCCGTTACAACTCGTCCGCCCTCGGTGTGACAAACAACCGATACAACGGCCACGGAACCCCCTACCTAGGCCGTTTTCCGACGTGACAACGCCACATACAGAGGGCCACAGATTCATCCTAGCAGCATATCTCATAGGCCATTTTCATTGTAATCTAAGCCTTTAACCACCCATCGCTAGCTCTTTTAAAGGATGGCTCACTGATGCCATTTTGTTCCTGAAGACAAGCTAAAGATATGATTGCGTTTCGTTGACATTTCTACAACCCGATATTTCCTATGCCCACAGTCGCCAGCGAACTCTGAGTCCTTGCCGACACCAAAGACTTCCAACGATAAAAGTCAGCAGTATGACAATATGACAAACCTTGCTACACTCCCTATAGTAATCACCTATCGTCTCATTAATCAGGTGATCAGGCGATATTCAGAATTCTTTTGTAAATCTAACTTCTCAGTTCAGGTATTTTTTGGATTCTAGTAGTTGTTTACGTGGCGTTGTCCTCTGTGACACAAATGACAACAGTTGTATGGCAGTACGGGACGGATATGACACTCAAATCGCAGAATCAGTCGGTTCCGTCACAATGATTGAGTGCAGAAATGGAAGGTGAGGTCGATTGCCTACAATATTTGAGAAACATGACAAGAACACTCTTCGTAATTTTGTGCTGTGGTTACTATGAGATCCATAAAAGACAAACGATAAGTTTTGGGGCATTAATCAATCCCGTCTGAGCGATGCGCCCGCATTCGACTTCCACTGAGAATTGCTGTGGCGTGTTCAGTGCGTGGCCTATAAAATGATTTGCAGGTGGCCAACAGATGTAGAGGTCCTGCTTTTATCCTGCCAGGCGATTCTGACACCAGTTAATTGAGCCCGCAGGATGGAAGGCTTGGTTGGCCCAGGCAGATATCGACCCAGGATTCGAACTCGTCACCATACGTGTGTGAAATGCGCCACTTGCCACTACACTGCCACCGCCCTGTGAGACTCATACAATTTGAATTCGAAATTGGGAGTGAGTGAAGTCCAGTTCATGCAAAAAATGGTGTTTTATCCTCCAAGCCCAGCACCTGAAGGAATTGAAGGGTTGGTTGTCCCGGGTGGATTACTACAACCCAATATTTGTTCCATGCGGTCTCACCCTGTAGCAGTGCACCACATCCGCTTTGTAAGTTACAGACATAATATAAATAATGCTCGCTCGTTACCTGCGATCGGTGAGGATGACTAAAAAAGTGATTCTTCCAATTTTGAATCACGGCTTTGTCAAACTTCGGAGTACCCATCCCTAAAGTTCCTCATTCAGATGGAGCGCACGTACCGTTACCAACGAATTCAAGGAGATCAATAGCGGATTACGATGTATGGTCAGAAGATATCACCGTGGATAGAAATAATTTGTAATAAATACGTTGTGAACCACTCGCTTTCGGTTTCATCTTGAGGGCACAGTTCACGATAATTTTGAGATACTCCTTTTTAGTAAAAGTATTGGTTGGAAATATTTATATTAGTTTATTGGTAGTGAAAAAAGCGAAAAAATTCGTCGAATTCGAAAAAAACAAGGGGTATTCGGACGAGATTTCGGTTGCTGCAGTTGTGCAAGGGATGCTACATCAAGCCAGAACTGTGCAGAACTGTTTTTCACTGTCCCTATGGGCCATGACAAGATGTCTGAACTCATTATATGGGTCTCCTTGTGATCGGTGCAATCTCTACAATGCCGGTGGAACTCGTCCGAGGATGCACACGGTGCAATCTTTGAGTCTTCAGAATACTCCATCTAGGCCTTTTTCAGACCAGAAAGTGGCAGATATGGTGTATGAGAGGGCCTCAAATTCACCCTATGGGGAAACCTCGAAAACCATTTCAATCGTGGACTGTTGCTCAAATGAACCGTGGCCTCACAGCAACAAGCGATATTTAGACCTTCTGATTGTTCAGTTCGGACATTAAGTTTAGCAGGTTCTTTTTGAAGTTTCGACAATGTGATATGTTCCTGTGTTTGGTGCTACAGAGCGGTCAAGTATCCCCATTTGTGCATGAAGGAGCTATGATTATTGACGAGTTGCTGTGCTCAGGATACGGCCGGTGTTCGAGCTTCTGCGGCATTGAAATGAGGTCGTACAAAATAAGGAATTCCCCAAGTTCAAGGAGGTAAGTGGACTAGAAGCTCTACATACCTGGAAGGGGAGAATTGCAAAGGGGTGGTCTATGAAGAGAAGATTGCGGTTCAACGGTTTTAACCGAGTTCTCGGGATTACTCCTCTTTCTTTGAGTTTCGAGCAGCCCTTCAGCTATATACCAGCATAGTCTTGACTGACTTGAGGCTCATCTTAAGACAAACTTATGAAGCCAAACTGAAAAGCCCTAGACCGATCTACTTACTAAGGATGAAGCCTTCGGTCTTATCGATTCAGTTTTTACGAGCGGGGTCGACTTCCGTTCAGAATCGTGGTGGCGTTCTAGATGCCTTTAGGCTGCATACGCATTCAGAACTTGCAATGACTTGCCGATGACCAAGTCAGCGCTTTTATCCCCCTTGGCAAACCAACTTTAGATCCTAGAAGGACGGAATTCTTGGCCTACCTAAGCGGCATCGAGCTCGGGCACGATCTCTGGAGAATGAATGAGTGACAATGCGCCTCTTGTCACAACATCATCTCCGTCCACCGGACAGCAGAATCGAAATAACTGGTACCAGGTATAGCTTTAAAATAAAACTACGCTGGTACTGAATTTTACAGATTATTTCTAACATCAAGTTCAGAAACAGAATTTCCACCATTTAGTCGCATTCAGACAGATCTATAGCGCAATCAGGAATGACCGGAAAATGCAGCTGACACACCTCAAAGGCCCGTATTTTTCTGATTCAATATCCACAGGTCAGTGACGTGCGTTCCGTGTCGTCATTCTTCAGAATGAACGAGGTTCTAGGGCGGAGCCGCTCGGCACCGTATCGATCCCTCCTCGGGCTCACTCAGCGAGCTTGCGCTTCTCGTGATGATGCTCGCCCTACTCGCACTGCTCGTCAGTAATGTTTTCGCCTTTGATTTTGGCGAATCGGTGAGTGTATTCACTTTTTTTAATGGTTCATTGGCCATGCGCTATTTGCCCATAGCTGACTTAAAGGTGGGAGCTCGTTGAAGAAGTGAATTGCAGTGTGTCTCTATATTTTGGTTGGTCGGGTACCCTTAAAAGCATAGTTATGGTCGGGAACTCTAAAACGACGTAAGTTGTAGCTTGGGCAACATCTCCCACAAGGAATTACATGTGTCGAATTCGAAAAGGATTGGTTTCCGATTCACATAAACATTGATTCCCAGCCGTTGTGCCACAGAAGGCAGTAGTTCCGGTGTCTGGTACTGAAATTGATACAGATATGCATTGACTGGTTCAGGCGGGCGACATGGCGCTGCTTCCCTCAGGTGACTTCATCGACTTGATTTCGCGAGATGCCGAGAATGTGCCAAGCCCCTCAGCATTTGGCAGTAAATTTATAACCGGTAAGTACATATTCATGATTAGCTGAATTCATATTCAGATAACTTTGCTATGCTAGGAAAATACAGAGTGAGTACTATAAAGGAGCCGGTGTTCATATAATTTCTAAAAACAAAAATTATAATGTTTTCCTTCACAGGAAGTTTTTGGGTACCAAGAGGTAATTTTCTAAGAAAAATGATTTGTAAAAGGAAATTTTGCGATAGTTTCGTGATGGCGTTCATAAATAAAAGTGTGTGGCTTAAGCTTATCGAAATGGTACGGAAAAAAACCAACAAAGCTCGTATTTGTCAATAATTTTGGTAACGAAGAATCATGGGTCCTAGCAGTGAAGAATTTTCAAAAGAATAAAAAGCTGTGCTGTTAGAGCTCAGTTAGGCGGAAGTAAGAATGTTTAATGATTATGCCACGCTTTAGCAATAATTTTTGTTTATTATACCACAATGACAACTCTTAGCCTTCATTCCCAGCAGGCACTTCCTCTCTAGTAGTGTCAATCTGCCCTTTTAACATCGTAGGCAAGCTTTGTGCGTAAGCAAGCGCTTTTAGTCAAACAGCCCGATGTTTCAGCCAATTGCCATCACAGCAACTTCTTATTCAATGGCACGATAAAGAAGCAACCATCGCAATTGAATTATAGGCTAAAATGGCTACTTGTTTTCTTACCAAAATTAAACCTAAAGCTATATTTCTTCACTGGCTCATGCTCCTGTGACAGTAGGATACCCTTGTAGGGACTAAAAGTAGGCAAGAATCATGGACATATTTCAAACTCACCTCTATACGACTAAAGCCATTGAGCAGAAATTGCCGAATGTGGTGAAATAGAATTACTCAAGAAATAAAATTGTCTATTTTTTATGAGTATTCCACATATTATATTTGTCGTATTTCGTTCAAAACCTTCGTTGTTGAAGTTTTTCAGGAAAACTAGCTGACTGAATAAAGTATATTTGGATTTAATAGTTCATTCATTTGAAAAACCCAAAGCTTGGGTTGCTTCCGGGGGTCTTCATCTCTAGTTGCTGATTGTGTTTACGAAATCTACCATCTAGTACATTCTCGACAGGAAGAAGGACGCGAATCAGCTTCCCTCCTCAACGGCGAATAAAAGGCATTTTCCAACATCCGCTTCCTTTTCCAAAGAACTTCTCCCTAAATGGTGCCTTATTCAGCTGCTTTCGTTTTTTTTTNNNNTTTTTTCATGACACAGTCAATTTCTTCCAACGACGTTGAATGGCATGCACAAATTTGCAAATTGATTCATCTCTAATTTTTCATACTTCTACCGTAATTCTCATGAGCTTGAGCACGACATGAAGCTTCATCAGTAAATTTCCCTGTTATGGAAAAACTTGAGAAAAATTTCCTACGGTAGCTTTCGAAAGGTTGGGCAATATTATTGCGTACAAAGTCCGCCTATCTATATTTATAATTGAATTTTCCTCGATTATTGGTTGTGTCCGTGACAGAAATAATTAAAATTGCACGGCCTTAAGGCAGAGCTGTAAGATAGCTGATACAAACCAAATTCTTTAATGTCTTCATCCACCCTTGCAATTCATCTTTTGATTTTCCAATTCAACAATGATAGCGTTGACTAATCGTGAACACAATTAATTTTTAAACTGTTGATTTAATTCTACTAATGTTTCTAACTCGAGCTATTCAATTTTTAGGTGGAGCCGGCGAAGGAGAGCAAAAACTTCGCGAAGAAGAGAATTTCCAACAAAGACAAGAGGTAACAGCTTTCAACCCCTTTATTTCGAATCAAATGTAATATTCCGCAACTAGCTGTCCTGGTTCTGGTGTCTGATCGAGCTTTCATCTTTTTTGTGTGCTGGGATTTGTTTATAACTTCTTTCCAAGCCTGTAACTGAAACTGAGCTGTCATTTTGGCCCGATTCAAAGCCTAAAACCATCACAAATGATGATTCATGTAGACTACCCGAGCGTTTTCACTCGAGATCTAACAGGTTATACTCAAAGTCAATGATAGGACATTCACGGATAAGCTCATAGCCTGACAATCACAACGAACACGGTCTCAAAGCCCAGCTAAACCTACTTGTTTTTTTGTCTATATTTATACATTTGTTTGAAAGCATCCCTATGATGCTATTTGAAGCAGTAGAAGTTCAAAGTGATTCGATCGAAAAAGAATTGAACATGTAAGTAATGTAAGTAGAATTTTCAGAATTCCCGCACCAATCACTAGAAAGGTAGCACCTCTCCCCCTCCCCCCTCCCCCCGTACAACCTCTTCAATGGCGAAATCATGCTATAGCCAAGAATTTCATTAGCCAGCAGCTGCAACTGTTGCTGCAACCTTACTTTTTCCTAAAATCTCTTCAGTTTGTATATGTTATTGGCTATATAAACCGGTGAGTTGTGGTTGAAATGATAGAGTTAAATGTTGTTCAGGTAAAATCCGACAACGTTCTTCCAGCGTACTGTGAACCACCAAATCCATGCCCTGTCGGATATACGGCTGCCGATGGATGTTTGGAAGAATTTGAAAATAGGTGAGAGAAATATCAAGCATTGCATGCCTGTGGCTAGTTCGTTATGAGGGCGCTTGCGGGAAAGCCGTTCTTCATGGTCAGCTAACATACTCTAATTCACAGTAGGCTTCTGGTACCAACTAACCAACCTCGGTGAGCAGGAAGTTTTGATCGGCCCCAGCCCATATCGATGCAGGATTCCATGTCATGACTATGTGCGTGTATTAGTCACCACACGCCATTAGACCACTTCCAATCATCTTTCTCATTTTTGATGTTGTTTATACGTCGAGAATACAGCGAAAAAGTCCACTCATTGAAAGAAAATTCATGGATTGTTTGTATTCAATTTAGAATACCCTCCCAGCCTCCCCTGATCACTGCGAGAATTACAGTGACCGGATTTTCTAGGTGACGGAGTTGTTCGCGAAGTGGAATATTTATGAATCACATTTTGATTTCGGTCCCTACTTGTTCAAATACCTTCTGTCCAGGAGTAGTCTAGGCCACACCCCTCTGCTACAAGCCTGAAGCGAATTCATCAACGGCCGAGCCTTGTGGATGAATTCGCTCATGATATCATCACTCGAGCCTCCTGGACATAAGCATCTCTCAAAATTTTCAAAAATGCAATTCACCAGAACTTCTATTAACTTCATTCCTTTTGTGGTCAAAGTTGTTGGAACATCAGCGAAAACTCGTTGATGTTCCAACAAGCTGTCCCTTCTTTCTGAAACACACTCACTAATTCGATAGAAAGGAACGTCAGAATTTATTAATCGACATTTTAGCGCAGAGTTCTCTCGAAATTACCAAGCTCAGCAACACTGCATTTGCGACCAGGAACACATGTTCAAGTGAGTTGTTTTTTTTTGTTAGAAATATTGTTAAAAATTATTCATAAA